GAAGAAGAAGAAGAAGAAGAAGAAGAAGAAGAAGAAGAAGAAGAAGAGGGAGAAGAAGAGGGAGAAGAAGGGGAGAAGAAGGAGAAGAGGGAGAAGAAGGAGAAGAAGGAGAAGAAGGAGAAGAAGAGGGATAAGAAGGGGAGAAGAAGGAGAAGAAGGAGAAGAAGATGAAGGAGTAGGAGGAGGAGAAGAAATAATGGAAATAAAGAAAGAAGACAAAGAGAGAAAAAAGGAAGAGAGAGAGAGAGAGAGAGAGGGAGAGAGGGAGAATTCCTAACAATTAGAACTCTCTACAATGAATAGCCTGCCCTGAGAGATGGGGAGTCTCTCTCCTTGGAAATCTCTCAGCAGAGATTGTGAGATGACATATCAGACATATTACAATAAGCATTCCTTTTGTAAATGTATTGAACTTGGCTGTTTAGGCTCTTCCATTTCTCAGCTACTGTGATCATGGAAGTCAGTTACCTGAGTTTGCATCTCACCTCTGTCACTTATGGGTTGTGTGACCTTGCATGAATCACTTAACCTCATATTCCTCATCTGGAAAGGAGAAACAAATGAAAACCCTAATGTTTGTCCTTCCTACCTAAGAGTTTAAGTGTAAAGATATTTCCGTTTTGTAAACCCTTATTATTATAAAAAGAGGGGGATTCTAGGTATAAACCTGCCTCCCTTTGTCTGAGATAACATTAAAAGAGCTAAGGAAGACTGATCCTTTTCCATTCTGAAGCTGCCTTTTTGGAGCAGTAAAAAGAATCCTGGATTTGGTTCCAGAGGACCTTGAATTCTGTCATTTGCTACCCTGTGACTTTTAACCAATTTTGTGCCTCAGTATACTGTTCTGTAAAATGAAGGGGTTGTACTAGATGACCTCTGAGTTCTCTTTTGGCCCTAGAACTGGGATTCTAGCAACCAAGAAATGCTGAAAAACCTTACACATTTTCCCTAAGTTTCTTGCCATGGCAAATTTTAATGGCTGGAAAATGCTCTTACCCTAATACCAGGTTATTACGTTTAAGTATAATTCGAATAATTTGTTTAAATTGCATACATCCAATTTTATAATGTGAGGGTTATCCCACTTGTTTGCTATTCTCTTTAAAGCGGGAGTCCCTAATGACATGTTCTTTTGGTTTCCAAGTACACTTTTAAATAGTTTTTTTGTTTGTTTTTAGCAGCTGTCATCTCTGTGATCTGTCCTTTTCTCTTCATACTTCAAAGTATCTATCAGGAAAAAGGGGACTGAAGTTTTTAACCATTCATAAAGTGGGCAGCAGCTCTTTCATTTATGGGCAATTCCACCATACCGACTACGCAAATGTGTTCCATAGTTTCAGTTGCAAAAAACACAATTTGAACAGATGCTAAAGAAAAAAAAACTGAGCCCAGTTTAAAAAATAATGTAATGACTGTAGCATGTTCTATTTCTTCTAGTAAAGGGACGAGTTTATAACTCACTGGGAGAAGGTTCATTTGGCATGTTAGTAGCTTTATGTTGAGCTCTCCGATCCAATTCAATATGATGAATGTTATTTCATTTATTAATTTATTTCAAATGTATTTAGTTCAAGGAACTGTGCTAGGTAAGGAAGAAATGAAGACAAAGTGAAATATAGTCATTGGTTTCAATGGACTTACAGAATACTAGGAAAGGGGAATTTGGCATATAAGCAGTTAAGAATATATATAATTTGGAATAGGAAAGACAGAGTTCTAACAATTAATGTAATCAGGAAAGACTTCCTTTAGGAGAAGGCACATGAGCTGAGACAGAACCTGTGGTACAGTTGAGGAGGGATCATATTCTAGGTATGGAGAAAGGCACAGAGTTGGGTGATGGGGTGTTAAGTTTTGGGGATAGATAGTGGCCATTTTTGCTGGAAAATAAAATCTACAAAGGGATGTGATGTTCATTAAGCCTCTAAAGGTAGACTGGAACAAGGCTGTTGAGAGCTTAAATGCCAAGGTGAGAGCTTTGTATCTTACCCTAAAGAGGAGGAGCCATTGATGGTTTGGTCAAAAGAGCAGCATGTTGAGATATCCTTTAGATAGAGTATTTTTTCAGCTAGGTAGAGATGAATTGGACTGACTTCCTATCCTCAAGGAGTTTATAATCCAATTTAGGGAAGGTGGCATACAGGAATGAGTTTCACAGGTTCAGAATTCAGGAGTTGGAAGGGACTTTAGAGGGCCCAAGACCCAATGAGGGTCTTGGTGAGGGAACTGAGGTCCAAAAAAGGTTAAGTGACTTGTCTAAGGTCACAAGTGGTGAAAACAAGATGGTGATGCAAGGAGTGTGATAAAGATGAGGAAGACATCTAGAAAAAATGCTGTAAGAAAGTTGAGGGTTTGAATCCCACACTCGCCAGTACCTGTGTGGTCTGGGGGCAAGTCATCTAATCACTCTGAGCCTCTGTTTTCTCATGTGTAAAATGAGGTATGCATATACCTGTTTGCATAGGGGAGGGATTCAATGATCTTTAGGCTCCTTTGCAACTCTAAATAATATGATCCTCTGATGATAACTTAATGGGTCAAGGGAAAAACAAAACCCGACTATACAAAGTAATTTTAAAAATTAGTATGAGCAGCAATGGTAAGGTAATAGGGTCAGGAGTCCTGAGTTCAAATTCCATCTCGGAAGCTTTCTACCTGTGATCTTGAATAATTTATTTAGCTTCCCTGGGCTCCTGCGTTTTCATCAGTAAAATGAAGATGACCTTTGATTTGGCTTGTGATCTACAAATGTAAAGGTAGGCAGGGAGAGAGGGTCTGGATTTGGAGCACTTGTGCTGGGCGTTTGCTAGTTGTGTGAACTTTGGTAATTCCATTTCCTTTCAAAGACCTGCATTTTCTGAGGCAGTAATGTATAGTAGATAGTACTCTGAATGTGGAGTAAGAAAAACGTGAGCTCTAAACCTTCTATAGAATATTATTAGCTATGTGACCTTCTTTCCTTCCTCCCTCCCTTCCTTCCTTCCTTCCTTCCATCTCTCCCTCCTTCCTTCCTTCCTTCCATCTCTCCCTCCTTCCTTCCTTCCCAGATTTGTGATTTCATCAGGAGAGGGAACTCCCAATAAGGAATTTCCTCTACCAAATTCAGATTGGCATCTGTTGGGCATATTATCATTTTAGAGAGTTGACCCAGAGAGCACTGAGAGGTAAAGTCACTTGCCCAGGGTCATGGAGCCAAGATGTATGAGAAGCAGGACTTTAAGCCAAGTGTCCCTGAGTCCCAGGCCAGTTTACTAAATTTATAATCACACTACCTCTGACCTGGGCAGCTAGGTGGCACAGTGGATAGAGTGCCCTAGTTCTGTATTCAGGAGGACCTGAGTTCAAATCTGGCCTTAGAAACTTACTAAGTGTGTGACCCTGGGCAAGTCACTTAACCCTGTTTACCTCAGCTCCTCATCTTTAAAATGAGTTGGAGAAAGAAACTAATCTTTGCCAAGAAAATCCCAAATGTCTGACCGAGAATCAGACACAAGTGAAACAACTCCACAACAACAACCATGACCTCTTGCCTGGAATATATTGGTAACAGGCACTTAGTGAATGCTTATTGAACTGAACTGAACAAAATACACTGCATTCCTGCTCAACAGGATGCAGATAATCTTGGAGATGACGCTGGATTTTTTAATTTTATTTTATTTTACAGGCTTTAATTCTGGTTAACAACAAAATCAGCAAAATCAGCCCTGGGGCCTTTTCTCCTCTGGGAAAACTGGAGAGACTGTACCTGTCCAAGAATCAGCTGAAGGAACTGCCAGTCAACATGCCCAAGAGCCTTCAGGAACTGCGGGCCCATGAGAATGAGATCACCAAACTGAAGCCTGCTGTCTTCAACGGACTCAATCAGATGATCGTCATAGGTACAGGAGGCGTTGTCACCGTGACCCAAACACTCTGCCTCAGCGTCCTCATCTGTGAAATGGTTGGGGGGATGGAGGGTGGCTTACGGGATCTCTAGGACCCCTGAATGCCACAGTGCTGTTCTTCTCTCAGTTCTATAAGCTTAACACGAGAAAATATATCGGGAGCTTCGTTGAGAGACTAGAGGGTTGGAACTGGAGTCAGAGCACCTGTGTTTTAGATCCTGGTTCTGACATTTTCTGGCTATATGGCGGTGGTCAGATAGCTTCAACAAGGAGAGTCTTGGTTTCTTTACCTGGAAAATGGGGGTAATATTTGCACTGTTAGCCTCAAAGGGCATAAGAGATGTGTTTTGTAAGCTCTGAAGTATTATAGGCATACAGGAAGAAGGCGGAGAGCCAGAGCCAGAGATGGAGACAGAGAGGAGACAGGGGAGAAATAGAGATAGAGAAGAGATAGAGAGGCACAGAGAGTGGCAGAGAAAGATAGGAAGACAGAGAGAAAGAGACAGAGACAGAGACAGAGAAGAGAGGGGAGAGACAGCGAGAGGGAGAGACAGAGACTAGGTATCATAGAATCATGGTTCTAAGGTTATAAGGGACCATCTGGTCTCATTGACTCATATTACATCTGAGGAAAACAAGTCCAGAGATGTGAAATGACTCTCCTACAGTAACAGAAGTCACTAGTAACAGAGACGGTTTGAACCCAAACACAGTGATCCTGTTGCCACCACCCTTTCCCTTGCACTTGTTCTGAATATGGGCTAAAAACATGAAAATGAGTCGTGGCCCATTGATCTGTGGCCTCCAACAAATTAATCCATCCTCAGGGGAAGAAAATGGGCTGCAGTTGCTGTTTCTTTTCTGTTTTCACGGGAATCTGAGTTAGAGAAGCTCTGAGGCCAAGGCTGTATTTTAGCAACATTGAAGAAAGGAATTCAGTCACTCTCAGAGGTGGTATTATTTGTTTAACATGGGACTGGTTTGGGGCTCTAGAAAACTCTCGTGTTAGGCATTTGCTTAAGGCTAGCCTCCTCTGCTATGACGTGGGGGGCTTTTTGAGCAAAACCCCTTTCCCCAGCCCTGGTTAATCTTCAGGTCAGTTTCTACTCAGCCTTATTTTTTGTGGCCTTTGACACACACCTCCCAAGATGTTGATGAGATTGTACGCTCGAATACCATGGAAAACTGCCAAATTATACAAATGTTAATTCAATTTGGCCCTGTCATAAGGTGTGCTTGGAGAACACTTGCCTCCTGCGGGCAAAGCTTTAGAGGATTTCCTGGGAGGCCCATGAACACAGATTGCCAAATGCAGAGAATTCCACTTCTTTTATTTGACTCCTCCAGAGAGGAGGAGAAAAAAAAAAACTGGAGCTTTCTTAGGCTCTCATTTGTTTTGGTCCACAAAGTATTGCTGATAGGAATTTTGAGTCCATTCTCTTTGGGATTTTGAAACACAGGAAGTTTGCCATTTAATATGCACAAAACGCTTACCAAAATCTTCCATATTATTTTCACAGAGCTGGGCACCAACCCCCTCAAGAGCACAGGAATAGATCCTGGGACCTTTAGTGGACTGAAGAAACTCTCCTATATCAGAATTTCAGACACTAATATAACTTCTGTCCCTCGAGGTAAGACATTCACAGTAGATAACTGACTGGAGGGTTTTAAGAGTTGTATGATTACGAGATCTCTTTGATAATACAAGGATATGTAATTTCACCAGGATGGGTCCTAGTTCAATGATACAGATTACAACCCCTCACTAAATTAGGGGGTGGTCTTCAAGAGTTCTTATAGGTCCAAGTTGCATCATCCCATTGAAAACTTGGTGACAAGCAGATCTGAATTTGGTAAATTGGTTTCTTTTTCTTTTTTCTTTTTTTTTTTTTTTTTTGGTGAGGCGCTGGGGTTAAGTGACTTGCCCAGAGTCACACAGCCAGTGAGTGTTATGTGTCTGAGGCCCAATTTGCACTCAGGTCCTCCTGACTCCAGGGCTGGTGCTCTATTCACTGCGCCACCTAGCTGCCCCTGTAAGTTGTTGCTATAAACAGACATAAAGCCCTTCACTGGACTCAAATCTTCCCAGCTTGGTAGAACTTATGTGAAATATGCTAGCATAATGTTTGACAGCTCAGGGTCACTTCTAACCATCAAACAGTCAATCAATAAGCATTTATTCTGTGCCTATTGCATGCCACACTCTATGCTAGGTATTAGAAATAAAGCCAAAAAAAATTAAAGTTCCTACTCATGGAACACCAAAAGGAAGATTCTTTCCCTCCTTTTTAAAAAAAATTTTTGACCTTTCATGGCCCCCAAATGAAAATACTATTGATGAGACCTGAAGCAGGTGGCTTAACATATCAGTGCTCTAATAAATTCTTTGACTTTAATTTAGAAGGTGCTGACCTGTGTTGGAAGAAGGAATTTCTTCATTGACAGATCCAATACCTATCTCTTTTCCCTGCTCATCAACTTTGGAATTTCTTCAAAAAGACAGACACTATGGGGAGCAAGGTCCTTTTCTGTAGTGATTACTGTCAACCCTATTTGCATTATAGATTTTCTTTTCCAATGATATCTATTGGAGGAAAGGCTGCACACACTGGCATCTCTTTTGTATATGTATCCCTATGAATGAACTGAATGACCTATCTCAGTAGTGGTAAGGTTCAAAAGTCATCCAAGTAGCTGGCAAACTCAGACAAAAAGGTATCATTAGATGTAAATTAAAAATTTCCAGAAGCAACTAAAAACCTCCTAAATTATCTTGGGTACCAGGCGGTCACACTGACTACAGAGAGATTGACAGGAGTTGATGCAATTTAATAAAGTTTCCAGACCAAAGCAATCTTGCAATTTTCCTATTTTGAACTTTTATGGACATTGGCTAAGCAAGGGCTTGAGCCAATCAGGGTGTTACTTCTGCAGTGTAATTTACCAACTATTTCCTTTCTCGCTGATGTTATTAGAGTAACTGGAACAATATGAGGTTGGAAGAACAGTGCTTTCAGGCGGGCAAAGGGAATAAAAAATAATAACCATCAAAATTCTATTGCTTTTACGAACAAATCCTTGGATAGTGCAGTCATAGGGGAAAAACAGTAACAAAAAATTTTCAATAGGTACCTTATATTTAAAACTAACATTCCCATGATAGGTACATATGGCAGATCACTTAAATAAATGCCCCTAAATCTCTCTTTAAAAAGAAATATCCTTGGGGGCAGCTAGGTGGCACAGTGGATAGAGCTCCGGCCTTGGAATCAGGAGGACCTGAGTTCAAATCTGACCTCAGACACTTGACACTTACTAGCTGTGTGACCCTGGGCAAGTCACTTAATCCCAATTGCCTCACCAAAAAGCAAAAAACAAAAACGTTCTCATTAATGTAAACATTTCCTTGATGTATTACATTCAGTACAAATAATGTTCCCTCGTGCACTCTTTGTTTCAGCCAAACTGGTCTAATCATTATTCTTTAGTATTTTATCTAATTTGTCCAATGTCTTGTGCACACACAAGCTGTCCCTCATACCTGGAATATTCTCTATTTACTCTACCTCTTCAATTTCCTGACACCCTTAAAGTTTAACTCACACATGGCTTATCCTGATATTACTCTATTTAAAAAAAAGTGTATGTGTATATATGTATATTGTATATACACACATACACAAAAACAATATATGTAGATATAGGTATATATATTATATGTGTATATATACATATGTGCATATTATATACATATGCAAGTGTATACACACATAAAGTATCTACTGAGCTATGTATGTCCTTAGACTATTACAAGATGTAAGCTCCTTGAAGGTAATGAATATCTCAATCAATCAACAAGCAATTATTAAGTGCTTATTATGTGTTGGGCTCTGGGTTGCAGACTAGAGATACAAATACAAATGATGACATAATCCCAACTCTCAAGAAACTTGCATTCTAATATTTTCACCTTTTGTTCCCAGTACCTGGCACATAGTAGGTTTTTAATACATACTAGGTTAATCGTTGCATTGGATTGAACTGCTTTCCATGTGTCCATCTCTCAAAGTCATCCCACTTTTTTGTTAGACAGTCAGTCAAAGCCCACATCGATGAAATGCATCGTTGTTAGTAATTAGTTATTTTCCTCAATGAGTCTTCTCCATTTTGTATAACTGGTGAACCCATCAGCAGAACAATCATTTGCCTCAAAATCATTCTTAACCATTGGCTCACTATGGCTGAACATTTTTGGTGGTTTTCTTGTTTTTCCAAAGAGTAACCTCAATGAACCATGCGACCATGGCCCAGGTTATTAGTCAATTCAGGGCTTGTGTCTCTGTTGTGCATGTGTAGCTCTGTAATAATTTCCAGGATAAGAGTCAAGGACACCATAAACATAGGTTCTTGATTTTGCTAACAGTCAATTCTAGGGAAAAGTACTGAGAAAAAAAGCTGTGTTTCAAATCAGTAAAGCATCAATTAGAGATGGGGAGAACACAGAGGGGAAGATTAAAGACCAAGTCTATTACAATATTTTCCATGTAAATTCTAGGCAACCATACATTTCAGAAAATTGGCAGTAGACCTGCTCATTATGTCTGTCCATTTATAATTAGAATGTTTATCTGCTATTTTAGCATCCTCTGTTTTCTTGTTGCAGGTCTTCCAGCTTCTCTCACTGAACTCCATCTTGATGGCAACAAAATCACGAAAGTCGAGGCAGCCAGCCTAAAAGGACTCAACAGCTTGACTAAGTAATAATATTACTGTCTGGCTTCTTTTAAGTGCAATGTGTGTAGGTTTGAGTGTGTATAAGCATGCTTATATGTATATGCATACATATGTATATGCATACACACATGTGTATATGTGTATACACATACATGCATATATGCATATATACATACATATATATGCACATATATGTTATTTGCAAATTAAAGAACATTTTGGAGTATTTTAAATATTATAGGAGAGAACACAGGCTCAAAATTTAAGGATCACTATTAAAATCCTAACTGTCATACTGTGTGACCTTGGAACAATCATTCAATTTTCCTGGGCCTCAGTTTCTTCATCTGTAAAATAAAAGGATTGAATTAGATGACCTTCAATGTCTTTTCCAGCTCTAGAACTATGATCTTAAGTCTCTAATCTTTTTTATTTGTTTGTTTGTTTTTTAATCTCAAGAAGGGAAAAAAATATTGGGAGAACACAATGAAATGTGTATTAATTTCGAAGAAAGGTCAAGGACAAATTTGGGGACCTGAAGGCTGCCAAGTTGTTTCTTGGTTAATCCAGATACACCTGATTTGGGTAGATCTGTGTTGTTGCAACCAAATAATGGAAAGGCACTGAATTAGGATTCAGGGGACCTAGAATTGAGTCTTAGTTCTACCACTATCTGTGTGACTTTGAATAAGTCACCCGTCCTCCATGAACTTCATTTTCCAAATCTGTAAAAATGGATTATATCATCCCTCTTGTCTTTTCCAACTCTAACAAGCTATGAATCTATAAACCTATAATGTCCAAACTTCAAAAATAGAACACTTCAAGTTTTTGTTCAGTGTGTTGCATGGGAAATCCTTTTTATTTATTTCTTTTTTCCATGCATGGGTTTGATTTGATGGGCACAGAGTTCCCTTCTGACTCTGAATTTTTTCTGATTGTTCAGTCATGTCTGCCTCTTTGTGATCCCATTTGGGGTTTTCTTGGCAAAGATACTGAAGTAGTTGGCCATTTCCTTCTACATCTCATTTTATAGATGAGGAAACTGAGGCAAACAGGATTAAGTGACTTGTCCAGGGTCACACATCTAGTGAGTGTCTGAGCCAAATTTGAACTCACAAAGATGAGTCTTCCAGACTCTAGGCCTGGCACTCTATCTGTTACACTACCCCAGTTGCTCTCTTCCAACTCTGACACATAGTGAATGTATGTAAAGCATAGAAAAGGATAACAAGGTAATATATGCCACATAGTCTTTATTGCATTCTGGATCCAGATTGAAGGTTTTTAATAATACATTTTAAAAATCAGAATGGGAGGCCACAGGGAAAGAGAATGAGAAAAATAGTAGTAGTTTTACTATTGGTAAATGAATAAAAAAATTAGTAATATAAAGGGTTTTTTTTGGGGGGGGAAGCTCCTAATATTTAAAATGTCTATAGATATTTCATGAGTAATCATTGAAATTCTATCTTCTATCATTGGAATCTGGTCAAAAAACTACATATGGGAAAATTACCAAGAAATCCTGTTTGAACTTCACTCCAACAGCTCCTCACCCTCTGATCCTTCAAGGAGTCTAACTAAAACTCTCCAATGAGGAGAAAGTGTGTATAACGCCAAATTGGCTATATCTTCCTTTTCAGCATATAAATCCCAAGATAGCTAACCAGCATGTGTCAAGCCTCCAGCAGCATGCTTCAGATGAACTAGATAAGCCCTGAAGCTTCTGCTACCTGAGTATCAAGGATAAACAGTGAGTGACTTAGTAGATGATGTAATGATAGCCTTTCCCACTAGGGGCATCAGTTCTCAGAATCCATTCATCTTGTACTTTTCTGAGTATACACAAAAGTTATTCTTCAGAACCATTCTGTTTCTCTGAGTTTTCCTTGTTGACTAGGTCCCTCTAGCTGTGAGAAAAAAGCAGGCAGATGATCTGAATCTGTTTAGTTTTCACAGAATTATCCTTGGGAGGACAACCATCATATGTCTATAACAATAGATTAATAATACCAGATACCGCAGCTTCCAATGGGGTGAAATTATATATGATGTAATTGTAGCTAATTAAAAATTGTTCCATTTAACATTGATTTTGGTTAAATGTCAATAACAAAAGAAAAAAGAGAAAATATTTTGTTTGTCCGTCAAAGTATTTCAATATGGAGAATTTTTAAGATTTCTTTAATATTTCTTAAATTAATATAGTATAGAAGTGGATAATTAAAAATCATGGGTCACTAGAGCCCAAATAAAGTGTCTTGATCTTACATGCTCCCCAATTAGATTTGTGAATTCCATTTGTTGAAATTGTGATAATACTGCCCCAAACTGTGTAGTCCAGAGTAGTCCAGAGCAAGCCAATTCACAATTTGGTACTCTTAATTTGTAAAATAAGGGGTTTGAATTAAGGGTAAAAGCTCTAGAGTAGGAATTTTTAAGCTATGATCCATGAACATATTTACAAACATATTTGTACATATACACACATGTACGAATGTATATATGTACATATATGTATATGTGTACTATATATATATTTCATTATAATTACTTTCCTTTGTAATCCTAAATATTGGATTCTGTGCATTTAAAACATTTTTTTTCCTGAGAAGGGTTGCATAGGCTTCACCACACTACCAAAAGTGTCTATCACACAAAGTTAATTAACATTTATTATCTACCACATGCCAGGCAGTGTGCTAAGCTCTGAGGATACAAAAAGAGGCAAAAGACAGTCCCTACCTTCATAAGAGCTCATAGTCTAATGGAATTTGAGAAGATAAATTAAGAATCCCATCATTTAGAGGTAGAAAGTACATGAGAAGCCATTTAAACCATATTTTATAAATAAGGAAACTGAGGCAGAGAGAATTTATAGATCTAGAATTAGAAGAGACCTCAGATGCCATCTAGTCTAACTCTTATTTAACACAAGAGGAAAGAAAGTCTTACAGAGGACGTAGATTGAGAAATTGACAGGACCTCAGAGGTCATTATTCCAACCCCCAAATTTTGTAAGTAAGGAAATTGAGGCAGAGGGAGCTCCCAGTCCTAGAATTAGAAGAGATTTCTGAGATTATCATCCAGTCAAAACATTTATTTTTAATAAAAAAAAAAAAGGCAACTGAGACCCAGGAGGGTTAATTGCATTGAAACCAAGCATGAGAGATGGAGGAAGTAAGCACTCAGGATGATATAAACAATCTGTTGGAGAAGTAAAAGGTATGTAGTTTTCCTTTTAGAGGAAAACAGAGACACACATCATAGGGTTCAAAGCTGAAATGGATTCATAATTTACTGATGAGGAAACTGAGAACCAAAGCAAGGAAGTCATTTGTCTAAGGTCATACAGTCAAAAGGACAGAGCTAGGATTTGATCTGAGGTCTTTGGGGCTCAAAAATCCACAGATTTTTACCACCATGCCATAGTTACCTCCACTCTACTCCCTACCCCCCATCAGGACTTCTTAACCTGTGGTCTACGGACATCAAAAGAGTGTAAAAAGATTTCAGAAGATCTTTGAATTTGGATGGGGAAAATATATCTTTATTCTAATTTATAAACTTTATTCTAATTCTTATAGAATTTATTCTAATTTAATAGACTTCCTTTGTAATAGTATGTATTTTGTTTTATGTATTTAAAGACATTATTCTGAGAATGGATCTATAGGTTTCACCAGGCTGCCATGACACACAAAGAGGTTAACAATCTCTTCCTAGATTGGAAGCTGAATCAAAAGAGGCAAGGCATTTTGTTCTAGACAACCAACACAAGCATTAGGAACCAAGCTAAAAGGCTGTTAAATTCTGAAAATGGACAAAGCTCCATGAAAGTCATCCTTTCCACCATAGAGCTCTAAACCTTGCTGCATTAAAACAGTGACTCTCATTTTTCGTTAAAGTAAATACATCATGCCAATTTCCAGAGACAGAAGCAACAAATGAAGGAATGAGATGCCTCTTGACTTATATCCTGAAATACAACTATTCCTCTCATCTGTACAAATTTGACTGAGCAAGCCATAGCTATGATAAAGGGACTGGAGTCTATTACTCATTCAAAGTCACTTTCTCTTGCAGATTGGGTCTTAGTTTCAACAGCATTTCTGCGATGGACAATGGATCTCTGGCCAACACACCCCGCCTGAGAGAGCTTCACTTGGACAACAACAAGCTCCTGAAAGTGCCTGGAGGCCTGGCGGAGCATAAATATATTCAGGTAACATAGTTACACCTGAACCCTGGTGTACAGTGCATATACAGATAAACTTCCTTAGGAGAGGATTGTAGAGGACAAAGATTAAATGTACAATTCTTGTAGTTAAAGGAATTTTACTCAATAGTTTTTGTTTGTTTTGTTTGTTTGTTTGGTTTTTTTGCCAATGGTATTTTGAACAGGAATGACAAAGATTTGAGAGGCAGGTTATCATGGTGTATAATGGGTTGACCTTGGAATCAAAGCATATCTTCATTCAAGTCCTGACTCTGAGACATCCTCATTCTGTGATAATGGGGAAGTTACATTACTTTTTCATGCTCTGGGTAATCCTTTAAGATCATAAATTACCCAGAAGTTGCCAGTGAGCATCAGTGGAGAAAGTTTCTACATTGAGATTTCTCTATACCGATGAAATCACTGGTTTTGTAGGTATGAGTCAATCTACACACAGACATACACACAGTACAAAACATACTATAATTAACAAAAAGTGTACTAAAAGTCTTCTTACAAACAAATCTTCAACTTGAAATTTGCTATCATGATCCTTCCTGGAGACTTAAAACTGGCAGCTTGGGGGTAGGGCTGGTAAAAGGTTTAGCAACTGGAAAAAAAGTTGCATGACATAATTTAAATTTAATCTGCATTATTAACATTTCTTCCATTACCTTCTCATGTCTAGACAATCAACAAAACAATAAATCAAGCCCTGATTTGTAGCATTTGCCAATTTCAGGAGAAGTGTTCATGATGATTTTTTTTAAATAAGCATTTTTAACTTTTTTAAAATAAGAATTTATTAAGAACTTATTGTTTGTGAGGTACTATGCTAAGTGCTTTACAAATATTTCATTCTATCCTCACAAAAGCCCTGAGAAGTAGGGACTGTTAATAAATAGTTCCCATGAGCCGGTTTCAGTGGGCTCTAACGCACCCCTGAATGCTCATGAACTATAGGTTAGTTGTAAGTGAGAAGTCAGGTCCCTGATGACATGAATGGACCCTGAAGCAAAATATCAATGAACACTTTTAACTTTCCCAGCATTTGACAGTTATGAAGTAAATTGTGGAATTAGAAATGGACTCACGCACACAGTAAAATAAGCAGCCTCATTACTGTAAATTATCTGTACCTGCTAAAAATGATGAGAAGATACAACTTAGTGGTTCAGAGATATTGTAACAGAGTAAGAAAACAAAGCTTTTGTAGATGGTAGCTCCCAACAAAACATGTCCTGGATTTGGAGTTAAGGAACTTAGGATCCAGCCCTGGTTCTGTCACTTATTACTCACATGACCTTGGATCTCCTTCTTTGGGCCTCAGTTTCCACAATTGTACAATGAAGGGTTTGGACTAGATGACCTTGCAGGTCCCTTTCAGTTCTAAATCTATGCTCCTAGTGTTCCTAAGGACTGATCAGAAAAAACAGCTTTGTTCCATTCATTCTCAACATTATGTTCCTGACATTGAATGGACACCATATTTCTCAGAAATCAGAGCAGAATAATTAAAAGTAAAATGTCAAGGTTGGATTGGATTCTCTCTTCCAACTCTTCATCTACAAATCTGTGGTCCTATGATCTTAGAAAAGATAATGTGTACAGAGAATTCATAAATTGTCCACTTAGCAACTCTCTCCATTATGCAATTATCTTAAAGTCTAATTTTGGCCTTTAGCTTTTATAATGGCATAAGTTCATTTTGGTAGTCAGTTAACCATTGGAGCTTTCTTATTATATTATCTTTAGAGTCTATGCTCTTAGACTGCCCTAACAATTGAAACCTTATTAAAAAGCTATCCTTTGTAACTTCAGTGGGGTCCAAGAAACAGCCATATCACGTACATCAAAGCATCTTAGGCATTGAGCTAGAAGGTACTGAATCACAAAATAGGAAGTGACTTTCCCAGGGTCATGCAGCTAGTAAGTATTTGAGACAGGATTTGAACTCAGGTCTTTCTGATCACTGTTCCATACTTCCTCGAGAGAGAGAGAGGTATGTGGCCAGAGATACTTGTCTCCATATTAGAGTTGAAACAAAGAACAAAGCCACCTGGCTCGGCCAGAATCTTCTTTTTTTTTTTTTAGCTTTACTTTGGGTCTTGGATCTTTTTAACCTAGCTTCACTTTAAGTTTCCAATCAAGATGATAAAATGAAGTAATGAGTGTAAAGTTCTTTGTTTAACCACAAGACGGGAAGAAATGTCAGCTACAGTTACAGATATTATTGTCATTGCTCAATCTTACATGACTTTATTCTTTTTTCAAGAGGTAAGGGGAAGGGGGGTATAAAAGCAAGAATTTTCAAAGGAAAAAGAAGGAAATCTGAAACTAAAATAAATACCACTCTACAAAACACCCCCTAACATTGCAGCAAAGTGTTCCAAAAGAATAAACAGATTGTGTGGTCTTATATTTTACAGTAAGACAAAGTATCTCAGAGCAGCGGCTGTATCTTCTACGTATCAAAGTTGGGTTCAGAGTCTCAATGTCCTCATCTATGAAACTGAGAGAATAATAGCCCCTTCGTCATAGGGCTGTGAGGAGGATAACATGAGATAATATCTGAAGAATGCTTTGAAAATCTTGAGACACTAAGTAAATGTGAACTGTTATTATGTTTATTCATTAATAACATTCCAACAGCAGTAACTTTATTGTTATAATAATAAAAAGCAACAATTTAATATACCTTAAGATTTGCAAAGTGCTATATGTATATATACATAATATTTATTATTATATATTATTTTATTTATATTTTATCTTTCTCATCATATGTTAGCTTTACATATATTACATATATTATATTTTGCTTCTCATAACAACCCTATAGGTAAGTGTTATTATTGTCTCCATTTTTCAGATAAGGAAACAGAGGCTGAGAGAGGTTATGGGGCTTGCCCAGGGTTACATAGCTAATATGTGAGACAGGATTTGAACACAGGTCTTCCTGACTGCAAGAAAAACATTCTATTCACTATAACCCTTGGTAATTCCATCAATTTCATGGGATATTTACCCAAAACCTTGTGGTTCAGAGCATTTTTTTCAGGGTTTGAAAGTCTGTATGATTCTTCATATTATGCCCATTCTCTTTTTCTTCTTTCCTGTAGTTATCTCACAACCCATCTTTCCATCAGATGACTGTCTATGACTTTTGCCTATAAAAAGAGCACAGTGTTCAATAATGACTTATGTAAATATCGAGCACCCATTTATATACATTAGTTCACACCTCACATTAATGTAATCTGTGGTCTGTCTCCAGTCTTTAAAGGTTAAAAAAAATCAGAGTTTATAATTTTGTTTCCTCATAGTTAGCCTACATGTAGTATAATTGGAAAAGCAGTTACTCATCTGCTCAAGAAGCTGTTATTGCTCCCTGTTGCCCATAGGAAAAAATATAAATTGCCCTATTGGGCAATTGAAGTTGCTCCAGACTTGGTTCACATTTATCTTTTAGGGCTGGTTAATTAGTTACTTTCTGAAAGAACGAAAAAGGCATTTATTAAGAGCCTATTATGTGTAAAGAACTGGGTTAACACACTACAAATAGAAACTATCTCTACTTCAAACTCTCTAAAACAATCTTCTCAATTCCACCTTTGTGAAATAACAAACAACTCATTCGAAGGTCATGAATGAAAAATGAGGTAAAAAAGAATATATTGGGTAAAATCAATTTCTTTTTAAAGTAAATGATTTGCTGTTTTAATATTTAAAAAGGAAAATCGTTTTCAAAGCAAATTTGTTACTTTCAATGAACTTTGATATTGTTTACCCATTTCCCATAATTCTATGTTATAGGTGGTCTACCTCCACAACAACAACATTTCCAATGTGGGATCCAATGACTTCTGCCCCCCAGGCTACAACACCAAAAAAGCTTCTTACTCAGGCGTAAGCCTCTTCAGCAACCCAGTACGGTACTGGGAGATCCAGCCCTCGACTTTCCGATGCGTCTACGAACGTTCTGCCATCCAGCTGGGGAACTATAAATAGATCTAGAGAGAGAATGTAAGCGAAAGAGGGGGTTTGGTTGTGTAACAGCTACAAATGATGTGGCGAAGGCCTGTTAGTGTAAAGCTAGATACTGGAAATCTAACTGTCAAGCAGACTTTCCCTTTACAATTAGTTCACTATGCATTTAGACCAAATATGCAGTTGAAATAATTGCCTACCATGATTTAAAAAATAATAATATTTTGCCTGCAATTTTCAGCCTATTTTCTGAAACATCTTTCAAGTGTCTCCCAATTTTCACAAATTGTTGTATATGAGATTTAAAGTAGACATTTGTCTAACATTTGATCATTAAACTTTAACTTTTGAAATCTTGACAATGGATCAAGTTTAAAAGGGAACTTTTTTTTTTCTTTTTTGCTAATTACTGAAGCAATCGTTGTCTTTGGCTTTAATTCAAACCCTGGAGGTTTACTAATTCATATCCACTATCATCTTGTAAGCATCATGTTGAATGTATCTATTTACGCAGGCTATGTAAAAAGCGCTATCATCATTGTTTTGGCAAAAAAAATACTCATAATGTATTCATATTTACATTTTTAAAAAGTGTTGGTTTACAAACCTTCCCTGAACAGAATCTTTTAAAGAAAGCACAACTCACTTTGGCTACCAAAATAATAAATCATTTCAAGTTCCAGGCATTCTCATCGGTGTCCTCTACTTTACAATCTGAATGGATGGGTGTTGTTGATGGATGGGTAACTTGCATAATTGATGGATGAGCTTAGGTTTTTTAAAGGTACAGAGAGTTGTAGAGAGTTGGTTCAATGGAAAGAATAGTCACTTCCCTACTCAAGTAGCCGCTCCATGAGTGTCAACAACTCTACGCTCTAGGTTGACTGCCATATTACTCATCTCTCTGATATTGCATAGGTTGTCTACCATATCAGCCTCTTGGACTTCCAAGCTTCCAAACTGGCTCCATATATATTTTGTATCTACTTATCTAGCTACATGCTGAAGAGGGAAAAGCCAAACCACTCTAGTATATTTGCCAAGACAAGACCAAATAGGGTCACAAAGAGTTGGACCCAGTTGCAAAATGACTGAACAACAAATCCATGTACATGTTGCATCACCTCCCATCTACCACCTGCCACCCCCTGTAGAATGTAGGCTCCTTGAAAGCAAGGACTACTTCATTTTTGTCTTTGTACCCCACCCCAGCACATAGCATGGTATATGGGACATATCATGTATTTAAATTCATTGTTGATGAATTTTATATCTTCATCATTGTCTCCATCATTTGGTTCCAAGCATATTATCCTCACTTGTGTAGGCTACACATTTCCTAGCTGATCTAGTTTACTTCTTGTTCCCAGTACACAACATTCCATATCCCATCTCTACACCTATGCATCATGCCTGGAATTAACTCTTTCCACCTTTTAGGCTCCCTACCTCCCTTCATAGCTCCACTTGTGCCACTTCTTACAGGAAGCCTATCTGAATCCTTGTAGTTTCTAATGGACTCTTCCAACCATGAATCACATTTTACTCTCGAGATTAAGAGCTGTTTCATTTTGCCTTTTTACTGTGCTAGTGTCTCATACAATGTCTAGTCCTCAGTAGATACTTGAGAAATACTTGTTGACTTGAATTGAATTTTGATTAATAGGATTTGGTTCCCAAATGGGCTCTGCCATTTAATGGTCATTCCATGACCTTGGGTAAGTCACTTTATTTTTGTGTGCCTCGGTTTCTGAGCCTCCGAAATGAAAGGGTTGGAGAAGCTGGCCTCTAAACACATTTTTTGGTTCTAAATCTATGACTCCTAGCTAAAGCTGGAAGAGATCTCAGATGGTATCTAGCTTAACCCCTTCATTTTACAGATGGGGAAATTGAGGCCAAGAGAAGCTAAATGAATTGCCTAAGTTCACGTAGATAGTACATCTTGTTTTCAGTTAATATTTCAAGAACTCCATTTTTGTTGGTGTGTATACTCCTTCCACCAGAGCAGATCATTACTCCTCTATGTCATTAAAAGAAATCAAACCAGTAGGGAGGGACATCCACCAATGTGGCAGAATCATATAACTAAGACTTGGAAGAGATTTCAGAGATCAATCAGTTCAAATCATACCTGAACAAGAATTCCATTGACAACATCCCTGAAGAATGATTTTCTAGCTTTGACTCTACACCTCTAGAGTGTAGGCAGCCTGTTACATTTTTGTTTAGCACTGTTCAGTGGGAAGCTTTCCGTACTTTGAGCCAAAAGTAACTCCTCCATTCCTTCCACCCATTGCTTCTAATTCCCTGTATAACTAGTAGGTCAGACCCCAGATGACCAGTACCACATGTCCAGCAAATTCACCATGTTGGAGTAACACAAGAGGAAATAGGATGATTTATAAACAGCACTAGGGAATTCCAACGGGGCAATGGATATATCTCCCTGTAAACAAGCATTTTAGGGAGTTATGGCAATGGGGAATGGGATTTTAGGTACAAGACCTGGGTTTAAGGGGTAGAACTCAAATTCCCAGGAGGATTGGAATAAATCAAATACCCTAGTCCCACAAAAGCTAGGACCTTGGATGGGACAAAACACAGACTCAGCTTTTGGAACTAGGGTCAAAGGTTGGGGGATTTAGTCCCAGGGAACAAAACAAGAGTTAACTTTTAGAATGGGTTTATCAGGTTAAGGAAGACTACAACAAAATTATGAAAGCAGAAGACCTTCCATGTTCTCTTTTTTGAGGCTGGATTGATCTCAGTAGGGGGGTGGGATTGAGTCTTCAAGCAGGAATTAAGTCTTCCTGGATGTGGGCATTGGAAGGCTGCTGGAGCAGAGAACTAGGCCACTCCTATAAGGATTACAGAACAGTAGATTTTTTTTAAACATTCATTTTTTTTAATAAAATTTTGAGTTCCAAATTTTCTCCCTCCCTCCTTTCCCTCACCCTTTCTTTTTTCTCCTTCTCCCTCTCTATGATAGTAAACAACTTGATATAGGTTATATATATGTGCAATCATGGAAAATGTAATTCCACATTATTCACGTTATAAAAAAAAAAAAACAGAACAAAAGGAAAAAAAACACAAAAAATAAAGTGAAATTAGTATAGGTTGATCTGTATTCAAACACCATCAGTTCTTTCTCTGGATGTGGACAGCATTTTCCATCATGAAACTTTTGGAATTGTTTTGGATCATTGTATTGCTGAGAAGAACTAAGTCTGTCTGTCAAAGTTGATCATCGCACAATGTTGTTGTTACTATGTAGAATATTCTCTTGGTTCTGCTCACTTCAGTCAGCTTCAGTTCGTGTAAGTATTTCCAGATTTTTTCTGAAATCCACCTACTTGTTATTTCTTATGGAACAATGGTATTCCATTACATTCATATACAAGAACTTGTTCAGCCATTCCCCAATTGATAGGTATCTCTCAATTTCCGATTCTTGGCCACTACAAAGTAACTGCTATAAATATTTTTGTACATGTGGGTCCTTTCCCCCCTTTTATGATCTCTTTGGGATACAGACCTAGTAGTGGATTAAAGGGTATGCATGGTTTGCTTGCCCTTTGGGCATAAGAACAGCAGATTTTTTTTTTGGCAGTTGGGGTTAAGTGACTTGCCCAGGGTCACACAGCTAGTAAGTATCAAGTGTTTGGTCTGAGGCCGGATTTGAACTCAGGTCCTCCTGACTTCAGGGCTGGTACTCTATCCACTGCGCCACCTAGCGGCCCCAAGAACAGCAGATTGTTACAAAGAAAGTGAGCTCCTACTCCATCCTCCCCTGTCTTTCAAACAAGGAACTCATAACATCATAGATTTAGAACTGAGAGGGACCTTAGAGGCAATAGAGTTTAACTCATTCATTTTGCAGATAAAGAAAGTTAAATGATTTGCCCAGAGAATATATCTGTAGTGGGTTTTGAACCATCTTTATTACTCCAAAGTCCTATCCACTATGCCACAATGTTTCAGGAAACGAATGCCTGAAAAGGGAACTGGAATTGTTAGTTGTACAGCTAATAAGTGATGGAGCAGAAACTCCAAATCCATATCTCCCAAATTGAAGTTCTGGGATCATACCTCTAGAACTGGAAGAATCCTTTTCATTTTAGAGATGAAAACACTAAAGCCCAAGCAAGTTAAATGACTGTGCACTGGATGTGGGCTCAGGACTGAGTTCGAAACCAAATCCAGCTTCAAACGCTTGCTAGCTATGTGACGCCAAACAAGCCACTTAACCTCTGTCTGCCTCAGTTTCTTCTGAAAAAATGAGAATAATAATAGAACCTCCCAGTGTTGTTGTAAGGACCAAATGAGATATTATTTGTAAAGTGTTTAGCAATAAAGTTTGGCATATAGTAGAAGCTTAATAAATGCTTGTTTTTTTTTCATTTTTTCATCATATCACATTCTTTTCCATTCTTTACACTAACTCCATGCTCTTATTTACATAGTGAGTTTTAATAAAGTCCTCAAAAGAAACACATATCTACTATAATCATTCAGTAAGAAAATTAGGATGTTTTTCCTTTTATTTTGGGGAAGTCAAGCTTCCACATATAAAATATACATGTCTATTAAGTTAAAGTCCATGACAATAGAGTTAGTTTCTAAAGTCTGAAGCCATGTTGCCTCAATTTCATTCATAATTGTTGGCATTTTAACGTTAACAATGGATTGTATAGTATTGGTTGTAAACTAAAATAAGTCTTGAGCATGTTTCTCACTACACACATACACTCACATATGTATTTTTTTTATTTTTTGTGTTTATTTTCTCAGAAGAGAAAACAAAGACATGCTGGACTATGCGTATGGATGGGATGTGAACAGAGCACCCCACTCTGGGCTCTCTCTCCCACTTGCATTCATTGTTACTCTGGGTCCCCAGAGACTGGCTGATCACTTTTGTCCCTCAGGGTTCTGTGGGGTGGGGTTTCTAGCACTGTCCTTCATAAAGCCCTTATCTGATATACTCTCCAATATCAATTTGCCAACTGATATCAGTTATGTTTAAAAAGGGTGTCTAAGGAGAAGGTATTGTGCGAATAGCAAAATAATCCACCCCCCTCAAATTAGGGGGTATACTCTTCCTTTAAAAAACACATACATGTATATGATACCTAGGGAGAGTGAATTCAAACTCAGCTGCAAAAGTAGCGAGGTACACATGTGGGAAACACATGAATGAACCTAGAACTGGCTTGTTCCAAACTCCTGATTGAATGGTATCCAGGGGTGATAAACCTGCGGCCTCGAGGCCATATGTGGCCTTCTAGGTCCTTGGGTGCGGCCTTTCAACTGAGGCCATTTTACAGAACAAGTCCTTTATTAAGGGGATTTATTCTGTGAAGTTTGGATTCAGCCAAGGGCCTCACTTGAGGATCAAAAGGGCCACATGTGACCTTGAGGCCAAGGGTTCCCCACTCCTGGATAAACTGTTTAATGTCCTCAACTATAAAATCACTAGATGACTTCCAAGGTCCAGCACCAGCTCCAAATCTATGATCTCAGCATCTTCTGATACTATTTCTCAAATCCCATGCTGCTCAAGTTTGCTTTGGAACCAAAAGTGTAAAGATAAACACAACTTGTTAATTGCTGCTGCTGTTTCACATTGATGGGCTGTGTCTATCCTATATAAGCACATACATTCATAGAAAAATCACATAAA